GAAATGTGTGCACCCTTGCAGGGAAGTTAATCTATTCGAATAGCCATGATCTTCGGTAACAGGATGACTTGGAGTTGTACCTTGACCTTATGACAACTAGAACCGGATACTTAATGAAACACACCCTTCCAAGTGCCAGATACAACCCGGTGGTCGCTCTCTAACAGGGCGACGAGGAGAGGATCATCGGTTAGGGTTATGCTACACGATGTTACTTGGGTAACTTACCATCTACTCTCTTCTCCTGCTGCAAGATGGAGGTTACCAGAAGCGTAGTCTTCGAAAGTATTAGCTATCCCCCTCTTATTCCAGCATTCTGCAGTTCAGTCCACATATGATACCCTTATTCCATTTGATACCAATGCATACATATGTAGTATAGCTCCTTGCTTGCGAGTACTTTGGATAAGTACTCACGGTTGCTTTGCTCCCTCTTTCCCCCTTTCTATACCCGATTGCTGCGACCAGACGTTGGAGCCCAGAAGCCAGACGCCACTGTCGATGACGACTACTACTACTCGGAGGTGCCTACTACTACGTACAGCCCGCTGACGACGACCAGGAGTAGTTTAGGAGGATCCTAGGCAGGAGGCCTGCGCCTCTTTCGATCTGTATCCCAGTTTGTGCTAGCCTTCTTAAGGCAAACTTGTTTAACTTATGTCTGTACTCAGATATTGTTGCTTCCGCTGACTCGTCTATGATCGAGCTCTTGTATTCGAGCCCTCGAGGCCCCTGGCTTGTAATATGATGCTTGTATGACTTATTTTTATTTGTAGAGTTGTGTTGTGATATCTTCCTGTGAGTCCCTGATCTTGATCGTACATGTTTGCATGTATGATTAGTGTACGATTGAATCGGGAGCGTCACAGGCCGGCCGGCCTCCCCTTGCTCCTTTATATACAGGGGCAGGGGGGCACCTCTAGACACACAAGTTGATCATTGATCTCTTAGCCGTGTGCGGTGCCCCCCTCCACCATAATCCACCTCGATCATATAGTAGCGGTGGTTAGGCGAAGCCCTGCGTTGGTAGCATCATCATCACCGTCACCATGCCGTCATCCTGACGAAACTCTCCTGTGAAGCTTTGCTGGATCGGAGCTCCCGGGACGTCATCGTGTTGAACGTGTGCTGAACTCGGAGGTGCCGTGCGTTCGGTACTTGGATTGGTCGGATCGTGAAGACGTTCGACTACATCAACCGCGTTCTCATAATGCTTCCGCTTACGATCTACAAGGGTACATGGACGATACTCTTCCCTCTCGTTGCTATGAATCACCATGATCTTGCGTGTGCGTAGGAAAAATTTGAAATTACTACGTTCCCCAACAGTATTTTCAAGCAAAGGCCACAATCAAATTCAGGAACAACTGTATTGCCATGCTCAAGGATGAAAATGGATTAGAGCACCATGCACACCATGCCAAAGCTGCTATTTTATAGAGGGTATTTAAAGACAGACTGGATACAAAGGCTCATTCTCAAAATCCTTTACAACTCCAACACCTGCATGTGCACCATCAACATCTTGAAGAGTTGGAAGCCCCTTTTGATAGGAATGAAATTGATGAGGTGGTACAGAACATGCCAGCTGACTAGGCACCTAGCCCTGATGGTTTTAACTCTGCTTTCTTGAAAGCTTGTTGGGGGATCATTAAAGAGGACTTCTATAAATTGCTTGCAGACTTTCACAATGCTACAGTTAATCTTCAGAGTATTAACTGCTCCTTCATTACATTGATACGAAAGAAAGACTCTGCTTCCTCACCAGCAGAATTCAGACCTATTTCATTACTCAACCGCACAATGAAGATCATCACCAAACTTCTTGCCAACAGACTTCAGAAAGTGATTTTGAGTATGGCCCATAAAAACCAATATGGCTTCCTTAATAACAGGTGTATTCAGGACTGCCTGGCTTGGACTTATGAGTATATCTATCAATGCCACCAATCTAAACAAGAGATAATCCTTTTGAAACTTGACTTTGAGAAGGCCTTTGATATGATCAATCATGACACTATAGTTGATATTCTGCAAAGCTAAAGGTTTTGGCTCTAGATGGATAAATTGGATTAAAATGATTTATGGCACAGGCTACTCCTCAGTCCTCCTCAATAGGGTTCCCGGGAAACAACTCTTATGCAAGAAAGGAGTTAGACAGGGTGACCCTCTTTCCCCTTTAATATTTGTGCTGGCTACAGATCTCCTTCAATCCATTTTCAATGAGGCCATGAATCACTCTCTTCTGGAATCTCCTCTGCAACATCATTCTTGTCAAGAATACCCTATAGGCCTATACTACAATATGCTGATGATACTATTCTGGTAGCTAAGGCTGATGCTAGACAGTTAAGCCAGATTCAAAACCTGCTCCTGCACTATGAAACTTACAGTGGACTCAAAGTGAACTACTCCAAATCCATCATGATCCCCATCAACACTCGTGCAGACAAGATGCATACTCTATCTCAGTTACTGGATTGCAAAATTGGGTCATTTCCTCATACATATTTAGGGCTGCCATGCTGCATCTCAAAACTAAGAATTGAAGACTTTGTCCCCATGTTGACAAGGATTGAAAACAGACTGCTAAGTTGTTCCACCATGCTCTTTACTGGAGACAAGCTCACTCTACTTAAATTAGTTCTCCAGTATGCCAACTTTTTTCATGTGCACTCTCATGCTGCCCAAATTAGTGGTTAAACAGATTAACATCTACCTGAAGCAATGTTTTTGGAGAAAGTATGGAACCCAAGACAGTAGCCCTGCCCTTATCTCATGGGAGAAAGTATGTAAACCCAAAGAATTAGGTGGTCTTGGTGTCCTAGATATCACCACCCACAATTAGTCCCTCCTCATGAAGCACTTGCATAAGTTCATGAATAAAGAAGATACTCCATGGGTGAATGTCATTTGGGAATCTTATTATCAAGATTTAGTGCCAGGTGATAGGATGATTGGATCATTCTGGTGGAAAGCATTGCTGAAACTACTTCCCACCTTCAAGATACATGCTAAATGCAAAGCTTATAAAGGTGACACCACACTTTTTTGGTCAGACAACTGGACTGGACAAACATTGCAAAACAGATTCCCAGAACTTCATTCTTTTGCAATAGACAAGAAAACCACTCTTGAGAATATGCAGTGTCAAGATGATATCAGCCTTCTCTTTCATATACCACTGTCTGAACAGGCCTATTCTCAATCTGACATGGTTCAAGACATGCTCTCCACCAGAGCTGTTTCTGAAGAGAAAGATCAATGGCACTATGCTTGGTCCTCACCGCAATACTCCTCCAGGAAGATGTACAAGCTGCTCAAGGGTGCCAATTCTGCACACAAGATTTTCAAAGACCTGTGGAGCACCACTTGCAGACTAAGGCACAAGATCTTCTACTGGCTGCTTCTATATGATAAACTTAACACCCGAAACCTTCTCCACAGGAAAAAATATGACCATGCAGGACTACAACTGTGCTTTATATTCAGATCACACCGAGGAAACACTTGCTAACCTCTTCTGGAATTGCCCATTTGCTCTCCAATGCTGGGATTTCCTAACACCCAACAGACACATAGGTATTTCTACCTATGATGAAATTCCGATGATCACAAGCCAACTGCCTCAGGAGATTGCTCAAGACATAGTATTGATGAGCTGCTGGGGGATATGGTCAGTCTGAAATGACAAGATTTTCAGATCAGCAGCACCACACATCAACTCCTGGAAGCACTACCTTAAAGAAGGTTTATGGGCAGCTCAACTCAGGTAAAAAAAGAGCAAATCACAGATACTAAATACTTGGACTGAACAGATCCTTTAATTTGCCAATGTGTTCATTCCCTAGAGCAGGAGTGGGATAAAGTTGTATTTGTTTTTTTCATTGTAAATACTTTTCTTATTTAATGAAATTACCGTAGAACAATTGTTCTACGGTCTCAGTTTCAAAAAAAGGGGTCATGTTGACCAAGGATAGCATAACAAATTGTAACTGGGATGGTAGCAAAATGTGATGTTGTTAAGATGATGAAACAATGAATCACATATTTCTCTTTGCCAGTTTTCGTGCTTGCTATGGCAGACGGTCCATGTTGCTTTTAATGTTCCACCACATATTTGTATCTCTAGTATGTCTAGAAATTAGTTGCATGAGGGATAAAATACATGTGGGAGTATCAACCTTTTATTGGATAACTTGGAATTGTCGGAATGATGTTGTGTTTAAGATACGCGAGTGGGAGTATCAACCTTATGTTGGACAACTTGGAATTATCGGAATGATGTTGTGTTTAAGAGAGTTAGTACTAAAGCAGCGGCAATTCATAGTTCCACTAAAGCAACTGCAATTAATATGGATCATAAGAAGTACTTCATCCGTTTCTAAATATTTGTCTTTTTAGAGATTTCAAATAGACTATCACATACGGATGTATATATACATATTTTAGGGTGTCGATTCACTCATTTTGCTCTGCATGTAGTCACTTGTTGAAATTTCTAGAAAGATAAATATTTAGAAACGTAGGGACTATTATTTTTTATCCACATGGTTACCCAATATAGATACGTGTGTGGTCGTTACTTTAGCGTGTGGATGCTCAGGAGTTCTTTTCTTCTAGACTCTAGATGCAACTATTTGGGGACTGTCACACGGGTTTTATTCGACCGATTTGAATGATAGCATAGCAATAGGATTAGTAACGCACCAGAGATTTACGTAAATCTCTATAACTTGTTCGTGTGGCCATGTTTATTTTTTAATTCACATTAAAACTTTTCAATGAAAAGGTTGTGTACATCAATCGAGATAGAATCCGAGGGTACAACCTTCTTTCTGAAAAAAAATGTGCCATTGACAATTATCAAATGAAATTGACATGAAAAATAAAACACAACTTGGAACAGACTCGGAGTTGACCTCACAAGCGCACGCACACATGCATCAAATTAAACCGACACGCTGACACCACGACGAACTTTGCTGAGAACTGGTCAATTAGCCGCTGCCGCCGAGCACGGACTTGAGCTTCTTCACCTGCGCGTCGTCCAAGAAGGTGACCTTCTCAACGACGGCGGACGGCAGGTTGTTGGCGAAGAGCGCGTAGTCAGTGATCTGCAGGCCGGGGTTGGGGCCGCTGAACGCAACGAGCGCCACCGCTGCCGAGCCGCCGTCGTTGTACTGGTAGTGGAGCAGGCCCTGGGGGAACACCATGATGTCGCCCTTGTAGAGCGTCTTGGTGTACACGGTGTTGGAGGAGGAGCTGATGAAGCCCGCCAGGATGGTGCCCTCGGTGACGAAGAGGAGCTCAGAGGCGGCCGGGTGGGTGTGCAGCGGCACGACGCCGCCCACGGCGATGTCGAGCCTCGCCGCGGAGATGCCGAGCCCGTTCACGCCGGGGAACTGGCCGACGAAGGCCGGGGTCACGGCCGCCTTGATGAGGTTGCTGGTGTTGCCCGCGGCGGCGAGGCCGTGGTAGTAGAAGTCCCCCGCGCCGACGCCGGTCTTGCACGGGTACCCGGCCGGCGTGTCGCTGCAGGACAGGTCGGCGACGCAGAAGTCCTGGGTCAGGGCCAGGGCGGAGAAGGGCAGGACGAGGAAGGAGATGAGCACGGGGAGCAGCATTGCGTTGGCCATGGCTTGCTACTGCGCTGGTGCTTCGAGTATGCTACTGTGCGTGCCCTTGTGGTGTTTATATAGGAGAGGAGGAGGCGGTGCAGCTGGTACGTACGAGCAGAGCAATGTAACGTGAGTGATATTCTTTGGCGATCGAGCTAGGGTTCACATGCGTGGCACTGTCCGGATCTTTTGGGATAAGTACGTGGCGGAGCCAGTGGACAAGCGTTTGGCTCATTAGCTGTGCATGGTCCATGAAATAGGGAAAGCTCTGGAAATGCTGCATTATTATGGAAGCACAGGACAATATAGGGCATGATGAGCTGTTTTTACGATGAGATGGATACGTGACCTACCCATTGTCTCATGCAGGCGCTAGATCTTTACAACGGTAGCATGTTATGGTGGCTAGTGCGAGCCGGTCGAATGCAGGCAAAGCTTGTTGCATGCATCCGTGAAGCCAACACTTGGTATTTTGCTGTGATCGACATGTCCTCGGGAAGTTTGTGGAGGCAAAAACTGCACCGGTCTTCGTTGCTTTGCAAAACGAGATATCGGGTTCGGGTGCGTGGCCATGCATGTGAAATTTTAACGCCGGTCCAAGATCTTCGAGATTTTGTGGTTCATGCTCAGCATATTCCGAGAGTGATATGTGTGATGCCTGGACCAACGGGCAAGTGCAACTCGTGAGCTTATTTTTGTTTCTTGCTTGGATGGGACCTGTCTGGATGCAACGGGTATATGTGTATAATGCCGTTTATCGGGAGGTAATGCCACCCGTCCACTCTTTGGTTGTATGAAAATATCTTGCACGCGTAACAAGCGTCTCTAGACTCTGTGTAAAACAAAAGCGTCTCTAGACTACCGAAAAAGTTTCTAAATGTAAAATAGAGTGGGCCTTTATAATATATTAATATGTCGGGCATTTCTGGGCTCTTATTATTTTTCTCTTTCAACACAATATAAACAGGATGCTTATATATACTAGTCAATGTGTACGTGCAATGCACGTTAATTTGGAAATATATTAAGTGCATGCGAATATTAAGTAGGATATTATTTGTGTGTTATTATGTAATTAGCACTATATTTGAGATGAAATTAACTGCATGCCAAACGTGTTGAGCGCTCGACATTGAAACAGTCTAGATCGTTGGATTGACATGATTTGATGGTCGAGATTAATTGGATCTGCCTCTTTGGGTCTTTCTATATTGATAGATATAGATGCACATACACCCATCCCTATGAATGCAAGCACACACATGCCCAAATCTATGAGCACCTCCGAGAGACTGAGCCGGCACATCATCTTAAGATTGACGAAGTCGCCACAGACGCATTTGTAGTCGACGGGAACATCACCTCCCACTGAACACCCATCTCTGGAAGGACTGAAATAAATCCAGGGAAATGCGAACACCAGTGTCAAGTTTAGAACTTGAACCCTGATGGGCTGGTGATACCACTGTTCTTCTAACCATCCAACTATAGGTTGGATCATTGGGCTCTTACTTACTAGGAGTACCTCCATTCTATAATTTCAAAGAATTCTAGAATTGCTAGCCTTTGACAAATTCTTTCTAATGAACACTGTGGAGTCACCCAGGCTCCAATTTTATATAATGAAACTATAATGTCTTACAAGACCAAAATTTTAAAGGGTTTAAAACCAACACTATAACTAACAAAGCAACCTAAACGGTTAACAAAAGAAACATAAGAAATAATTCCAATGATAGAATAAATTAGAATCATTCGCTCGAGCCAGAAGGTTCTCGGCTACTTACCGTAGACTTTAGTTTGATTCTCGGTGCGGATGAAAAATATAATTGCAACATTAAATGTCGTACAATTGGGAAATTTCATGAACTCTCTTTCTAGATTTCTGGTAATACACCCTTGTTCTTGGATACCGGGGATGTAACAAAATCTGATCCAATTTTTAGATTTGAAAATTCTTGGTTTATGAGAGAGGGGATCCAAAAAATTATTTGTGATACCTGGATGGATACTAGGGTTCATGGGTCAAATTTAGATAAATGGCAAGATAAACCGAGAAGGCTTGGAGCTAATTGAAAGGTTGGAATAGAAATATGAATGCATGGTACAGAGATTTGAAGAAAGATATTCTGATTAAACTTGATGATATTCATAAGCCTTGCGAGCTATATGGTTTGACAGCTGATAAGAGACAAGAGTAGAAAGACCCTAGAGCTCAGTTAGAGAGGCTGGTGAAATAGGAGGAATTTAAACAGAAGTAGAGGGCAAATTAAATAAATCCTTGAAGGGGATTCTAATACTAAATATGCATGCTAAAACAAATGGTAGATGCAGGAAAAATGTGGGAACTTCTCTGGACCGAGTTGAAAGGCTAATTGAAGGAGATAAATATCTAATAATCTATATTAATAATTTTTATAAGAACCTTTTTGGTCTCCCTGAGGTTTCTACTATATCTCTTCATATAGAGAATCCTTAAAAATTCCCTATAGGAGCCGCAGATAAGCTAACTGCAGAATTCTTTTTAGAAGAAATTAAAAGGTGGTTTATGATATGGCTCATAATAAATCATGTGGGCCTGATAGTTTCATTGCCGAATTCTATCAACATTTTTTGGAGTTGGTAAAATTTGATTTGAAAAACTTGTTTGATAATTTTCGTAGGTACCTAAAACTAATGATGTCAATAAAATCCAAAAGTTTAGACCAATTTATCTACTTAATGTTAGTTTTAAGATTTTTACTAAGGTTTCTGTGAATAGATTGAACTAAAAGATACCCGAGGTGTTGCTACAGGAATCAATTGCAATACATTTTAATGAAATTTGATTGTGTGGAATATAAATATTTAGATTAATAACACATGAACAAAGTTAAAAATACATACTACTTATTATATTTGATTAGGTATAGTTGTAAAATTATATTGAATATAAGTAGAATAAATTAAGGACAATATTTTTCCCATGCATGGTTGCATGTCGTGGTGTGTCCTTTCCCACGCATGGTTGGATATTGAGGTGGGCCTGATCCCATCCTAATTATATGATGATGTGACATACTTGCATGTTGACATAAATAAATTAGTGGGGATCGATATATATAAGATACATTGCTGGGAGGTAATCTCACCAATTCAGACCGCTATAGCAAAATGTACTAGCGAACCTCGCGTGGCGGCACGCCGCTCCCGTCTACAGCTTATATTGTGCATCCTGGTTTATTTTGTGCATTCACTTCATTTGTAATACAATAATTAGAGAACAATCTTGGATTGCAGCAATCGCACAGGGTAACTAAATAGCGATTTTTTTGAGATTCTAAATCTTTGGTTGGTACGCTCCACTGAGCAGCTCTCCTTTGTGTTGATAGTGGACCCAAGACTTACTATCAGTCACTTCTTCTTTCTCGTGTCTGATCTCTCTTCTTTGTGGCACGCTTTCGGCAGGTCCCCCACTTGTGGCGTCTAACGCATAGAGCATCTAAGGCAGTACCACGGTAGTGCGAGACGTCTTCGCTGCATTTCTCATAGGTTCGCCTGCTGAACACCGATGATCGAGCACTGGAAAACCTATTACTATGCACCGCCCCCTCCGATGATCAACTCATAAATCAGAAAGATACATACCTATAACAATTACACATGTCAAAATTCATAAAAGAATTGGGTCAAACACAAGTTTTCATCAGCCCTCATCTACTTCTCTCTCGCGAACTTTCCCACAAGTCCCCCACTCGTCGCATGTAGCACGTAGAGCATCTAGAGCAGTACCGCGATAGCGCAAGACGTGCTAGGTGCAGTGAGCACTCACCTCACGGACTGACACCTTTTCGGCAATGCTTGCAGATTCGCCTATGAGCACCGACGATCGAGCACCGAAAAACTTATTACTATGCATCGTTCTGATTCGATTTGTCTTGTTTTGCTGAGAGCTGCTCAGACGTTCAAATGATCTAAAAATGGAGCGAATCTTCCTCCTAAACATCTTGTGCACTCTACATCTTTCTAGTTATGTATACATAATTATGAATACACCACTATGAAGATATTTTGTATGCCATATACTATACAGACCTATACCAATATATTTAAGGATACACATATACAAATACACCATTAAAGCACTGTCACCATATAATCCAAGTAAACATGGATTTTCCCGTTTCTTATTTACTCGCATTTAAATGAGTTCGGTTTAAATATGTTTTAAGATGTATGTTAAAAAAACAAATTTTATTACAAAAACAATTTGAATCGCCCACAATATGATATCTATGATCGTGATCTGGCAAAATATATACAAATAAGTATTAAAGTTTAATATATAAATAGCTATAATAATCTCACATAATGAAGTTCAGAAAAGAATCGGGTCAGGCACAAGTCTTTTTAATGCTGGCTGTAAATAAATTTCAGATTTCAAGGGGCGATGAACTTCTTCATCAGGTCTCATCTATTTCTCCCTTGCGCGCGTTCCCGCACGTCTCCCACTTGTGCCATCTAGCGCGTAGAGCATCTAGGGCAGTACCGTGGTAGTGTGGGGCCTGCTCGCTACCGATGCAGCGAGCAGTCACCTCACGGACCAGTACCTTTTCGGCACTGCTCGTAGATTCGCCTCCTGAACACCGGTGATCGAGCGGCGAGCGGTGCTGGTGAACTTCGCCCATCGTACATCGAGTTCGAGCTATAAAAATAACCACATACTCTCTTCTCTTTCTCCATCCCCACAACGTGCCTCATTCCTTCTCCCTAATTTTCACCTTTTTTCTTCCTCCGGTGACAAAAGATCGAGAGGAGGCCCCCAATGGAGGACGTGATCTCAGACTTGATCCTAGTTCTCATAGCTGGGCTGCTAGCAGCATTGCTTGGCTTCTCTATGCTTCTGTGTGCGGCGGCACGCCGCACCTTGTTATGGTTAACAATGTATACTATTGTATATACTTAAACTTTTTTTTATTTTTTTATTAGTCTTGACTCGGGATGAATTTTTTTGGCAATAACCTAATTTTTAGGGGAAG